CTGACTTTGGGCGGACGCCACTGCATCGACTCTGGTGAGGCTTACCGATCCTTCAGCACCAGCTCAATCTTTCGCTGACGAAACGGGTTCAGGTGAACGACATGTTGAAGGACCTGAAGAAACGACAAGTGGTGGAGCACAAAGAGAGACCTTGGTCCTCGCCAGCCGTGTTCGTTTGAACAAGAGGGAAGATTTGTCCCCGTGTGGACTGAGGGAAGCAGAACGACGTGAAGATCAATTGCTTGTCGCTCACAGCGATGGGCGACACCAGGATGCGCTTGCTGGTGGTAAGTGTTTCAGGAGCGAATTTGTAAAGGTAATTTAAAGGCTTTCCTTCGTTCTACGTGGGAGGCAATGTTTGCCCTTTATGGAATCATAATAATAAAGAGTTATTGGCTCGTCATATCATACGCTGATACAAGTTTCTGGATGTACCCAGCAATACGCTACAACACGCCAGGTAGTCTTTAAAGTGCGAGGGTTTAAGCAACCAGCAACGCTCAGTGACCAGAGGTAAATATCAGGAAGGAGCAATGTTACGGACGTAACTGGGGCATTAAAGACCGGCAGATCGAAGCATCATCTGCTGACACTGACATGGACCTTGGACATGGTCTTTGTTGATTTTGGACTGGTGTTTGTTGCTACTAGGATGTCGGCAAAGGAGGAACTGACTTTTCTCAATGTACTGCGCAAGCTGACTGCACGTGTCTTGCGACTGCTGAAGCGAGACAACCTCGCCGAGAATGTGGGCTTCCGCCAGGGTGTATGAAAACACATTGGCCAGTCCGGAGGGAGACAATTCCGCTCTGCCGCGGGAGAGACTACGGTCTCCCAGGAGGCCCTCAGAGCCAACGCACCGCAGGCAAAGGCAAAGCCTGCGAGCTGAACTACGCCGTTTGGACCGTTCGCTGAAACCTGCTACAAATCAGTTGAACGAGGTGACATCTGGGGTGGATTCATTGGCACGAGGGATGGAGGGTGGAAGTAAAGAAGAGGAAGGCGTCCCCGTGGAACTCCATCCTGTTCAAGGTCACGGTGCGGCAGACTTGCACGCTCAAACCGCCGCGCCAAAAACCGAGTGGGAAGGAAAGGATCATACCCAACGGTACTAACACCGCCGATGGCCGCTGTTTTGATGGAAGCGGATCAAAGGCGTGCCTCTACCGGTTCATACAGTGACGTTTCTGTACCACGGAACGACGTACATATTGGTACCATCTGGATCGCCCTATTTGTTAAGGTCGTTCCTGAAGATTGCTGTCTTCTGGGTTGTTGCGCCGTGTATTCTGGCAAACTTCTGCCAGACTACACGGCGCAACAACCCAGAAGACAGGCATCTTCAGACTCACCGCCGTGAGAACCTCAAATCCTACAAAGGGAGAGATCTCAGCTGAAAGGGGAGATCCTCATGCTGGTGACTCAGAATGCTAACTGCTTCCGGACCACCATCGGCTTCCTGCTCTCCGATGAGAGCGAAGGTGGAGTTTTCCACGCATTATCCTGCCCGGAGGATTGACGAAATTTGGCAAGCGCATGCGCCAAGCCGAGATTCGATTAGCTGGACGCCTCGCACCCCCACGTTAAGGCAGGCATACAGCTCCGATCAAGGTGACTTGACCGGGACATGAAGAAGAACTGTCCCCGGACACTAAACTACGCTTCGATGCGTCGGTGGCTTCATTTCTCAGTGTCGAGAAAGTACGTTCTTTCGCCGATCTTTGCGGACTTGGAATCGAGGCAGGAAGCTGGGACTGGACCAGTTCTTGAGTAAGCACGGCGATGATAGTTTCTTACGATCGTATCTTGGTACCGGTATCGCGGTATCTGGAGGTGACTCTTGAGGCCGGACTTAATTAGTCGACGCCCGTCAGCCAGGAGCGAAAGAAGGCAGTTTGAAGGTTGGTTGTTCCGTAACAGGAGAAGCGACCTCTCTGTCGGAAACGGTGTGCTGCTCTGGAAGCAACTATCCGTTCTGTGTTTGATTGCGCGTGTGCGATCTGGAGATTCGCTGCCCACGGCCGCGACGTTAGTGACAGGCAAATGCATGAGGATTTTCACATTCCATTGCTCCCGGACTCCATGAAGGCACTGACCGACTTTCGACACAATGTCGCCTGATGCGGGAAAGCCCTTAGCTCAGAGGGCCATCCAGCCAAATTCCCTTTGGCAAAGGACATTTTGGCTGATGAGATGACCTCTCGCCAGTAGCAAAGTCAAGGCGTTCCGCCACGACAGAACATCGCTAGCGTAATGACACTCCTGTTACAGTTTTTTGGCCCTGTTTGCCATTCGTTGGTTAGGTTTTTGGCTGGTGGGACACGAAGACGGGCTGTGGCTGTCCGTCGGTCACAAAGTGATTTTTGGATTTCAGATTCATATAGGACTAGCATGACGCTTTTTAAAATAATTACGGTTCTTGCTGATTTGATAATATAACTTCCCTTCTATGACTTTCATATTGAAGTGTATCATTTGTATTTAAAGCGACGTATAAGTAAACTTCAGCTACCATTCGCCAAAATTCGTGGTCTCTTACTTTTTTTACTTCCCTCATATTCTAATAATTTATTAGTTACCGGTTTGTCCTTGTAACCGTTACCGGCTGCACAATCTTGGTTCGTCTGATACAAAGATTTGCGAACTGCCAATTGAAGGCAGTTTTGATGTTGTAGGTGAGTGGGCTGCGGTTCGAGACTCAGCTTCGGACGCTGAACCAGTTCCCGGACACCCTGCTGGGCGACCCCGCCCGGAGGATCCGGTACTTTGACCCGCTCAGGAACGAGTACTTCTTCGACCGGAACCGCCCCAGCTTCGACGCCATCTTGTATTATTATCAGAGTGGCGGGAGGTTGAGGCGGCCTGTCAACGTGCCTCTGGATGTCTTCTCGGAGGAGATCAAGTTCTACGAGCTGGGGGAATACGCCATCAACAAGTTCAGGTGAGCGCTCACAGCTCTTTGCCCCTTTTTGGCCAGCAGGGAGGGCGAGGTACAAGAACGTAAGGCGAGAGCGGACACTTCCACGTTGTTTTGCACCGTGAATCTGTACAGGCTGGGAGATCACGTAGTCAACAAGCTTAAACTCCATCACACAGACTTTTATCGAACGCTATGATCAATTCCATGAATTGTGGCGTATGCGGTTATTAAGTTCTGGTGAACCGTTCAATCAGTATGAATTTTGAACGGCCATTCTGTCATTTGTTTGTGATTGTGTATGTCAGGAAGTATTCGCAAGGTGGTGATTAAAATTAGCATAACAGAATTGTCGCTGGCCCCATGGATCGGTTCAGAGGGACCTAACTAAATGACAGCATTACGCGAGCAGATACTGACATTCAGAAACGTATCGGCTTCACCCGAGCTTACGCCATCTTGCTGTAGCTGTTTATTGTCATACCGGTCCTCAGAAGGGACGTTGAATGTTTCCTCTGCATGGTCCGGCATTTTGCCGTCTCGTAATGGTGATTCCACGTTTATTGTGGCGCAGAAATGCGTCATTCGTTCTTTATAGTTTGCAGACATTGACATCTTCAGCTCACAAAGCCCAGTCAGTCCACGCTCCTTCGTCTTCTTTTCGGGCATGTTCAGGTTGTTATTGACGCCAGAGGCACGATATTTCTCGGCTGCAGCTGCCGGCAGGAACCGTTCTTGCTGCCCGCGTTTATTCGGCAGAGCGCCTAATCGCCGACAGATGAACGCTATGCTGGTACTCCACGTATGACTTCGTGCGACGGAGCTGCACGAGCCAGGAAGCTGCACATTCACCCAGTTCCGATGGCAACGCACGCTTTCATTTTTCCGAACTCGGTCAGTTTCCGTGATCAGTGTCTGCTCATTAGGGGAGGTCACAGAGATTCGCGTTTTATAACTCAGTTGTTTTCATTGCCATATTCTAGGAGTCGGTGGAGTTCGTAAACAAATTCCGGTCGAAGGATATACATTTTCACTCTTTCTTCCAACATTGCGTTTTATCGTCAGATTCTACTTAATGTCTGAGTACTCCTTTATGAAATTCGGGTGAAGGGGCTATTTAAAGGTTCCAATGTTCTTCTCTATCACCCAAATTCACCGATTTGGGAAATTTCCAAGCGTGAGAACGCAATTTATAATTTCTATCCCTCGATGCTTTTTCAAGGTTCGGTGCGACGACTTTGGGGCATATACCACCAGTATACTCAGAATAGGTGGTCACACTGCAGTTGTATTCTCGTCCCAAGTCGTTCACATGACGTTGTACAAGTTAGTGAGTACGTCATGAACGGATTCTGATTTGAACCCACACTCGCTGATTTTCGCGATGAAGATACGCGAACTGAGAAAGTAAGCAATCGGCAAGAGCAGGTAGGCGATAACTGAAGCTCCTCTCAGGAGGTGCTCTGGATGGAAGTGACCTCCGTCAGTCGTTAGGTGGCTCTGCATTCGCGACGCCCGCACTCGCAAGTTGTCCTTTGCCTCTCCTTCCTTGCCATGTGACATCCCGGAGCGGGTCTGAGACTTGCATTGTCCCTCGTATAAAGACGTCCACCGGGTTTAGGCCACGTCACGCATCGTCCACGCCCAATCCATCTCTTTGGGAACCCACAGTACATCCATCTGCACGCGTGCTGCGTGTTCAGGATCTCGTCGTGACGGGATGGGGGTGGTAATCTTGCGGTCACAAACTTCGAAAGCGAAGACGGTGTTGGTAAAACCGAGGAGTTCCAAATCGTAAATGTTGCGTAAAATACACTCTCGACAAGGAATGTTTTCATTTCTTTAAGACATAGTTTTCAACGTCATTTAAGCACGTGCCAGTCTAGTAAATGTTAAACGTGTTTCTGTGGCCCACATTTTGTATCGCGTATTTTTCATCGTCCAGGCAAATGGTTCGAAATTAACTTCTGGCTTCTTTCTTAATTGTCTT